ACACAAGCATATGTTTTTTTTTTACAGCCATGTTGTATGAAGTAAATTTTAGTTTTACTAACGTCTGTATGCATTTTATAAAATAATTGAAAAATAAGATTATAATTAATATTAAATTAAGCAAGATTAACTTGCATATGTTGTTGGTTTATTTCTAATTTCTTTATTATTTATTTAAAATATGTGATTAATAGAATATGTTTCGTAATTAATTTTGTTCTAATTATAATAATAATTATAATAAGTTATTATAATAATTATAATTATAATTATGATAAGTTATTGAATTATTATTTTGCATTTCTTTTTTCATTTTACTAGATTTGCAGCCAACAAAATGGGAAACAACAACAACAGCAACAACAACAGCAGCATCAGCAGCAGCAACAACAACAACAACAACATCATCATCATCATCATCATCATCATCATCATCATCATCACAGATCAATCATGGAATATTGTTCCACCTTAGGAATTAGAACACCTTGGAGTATTGCTTCATTACGACCAGCACCTCCTTCCTATACTTTTAAAATATTTAATAAAACTGACATCAATTTGGATTTATCTTCACCACGCTTATGTAGTAGGGATATAAACATAGAAAATTAAATTAAACAAAATATATATATATATATATCAATATAGAGAATAATCAATTTTTTCTATTACAGATGAAAGACAATTTGAAGAAGATGCAATTATATTAAAAGTGATTGAGGCATACTGTCTTTCTGTAAATGCTAGATTCACTATGCATTCTGGAGAATCAACTTGTAGGTTGTGAATTAAATTTTTCTGTTTTTAAAATATTTAAATCTATATATTAATGTTTACATCTCGAATTTTATTCACATTTTAGCAATGTTGGAATATGATTCACATAAAATGCAAGAAAAAGTTTCCTTAATGAATAATTGTAAAAATTGGGATTTTTGTACTAATCGGTAAATTAATATTTCTTTAATTTTGAAAAATTATTATATACAATATATTACAAATCAAAATATATATATTTATATTATTAAAAATTTAAATCTAATATATATATTCATTTCAAATAGGATATTATCAGAAACAGTTAGGACATTGAAAAATCAAATGACAGATTTACAATCACAAATGTCATTATTGACAAAACAATTAGATGAAGAAAGGCGATCAAGACTTTTTTTAGCTGCTACAATAAAGCGTAGTATTGGTATAATGGACAGATCGGTATCTTAAATACTTATTTATTGATGTTTATTTTTATTATGTTTATATTTTTTAATGTGACATAATAGGAATGTTTTTTCTATAAAATGTTTGTAACTTTATTATTTGTAAGAAAAAATATAGACATAAATAATTGAACTATTTGATATAATGCAATTTTTGAAATTTTCATTCATTGTATAGATATATATGTTTTCATGAAAATTACAAATATATTTGTTATGAATGAATTAAATGCTTTATATAATTTATACATGTATATATAAAAATTGAAAATTTTTAATTGAAACATTTATGATTGATATATTGAAAATAATGAATTGAGAAAGATGATTAGATGTGTTCATCTTGATTTGTTTTTGATACGTTCTAATTCATTTACTCTGCTTCGTGCATGTTCTAACCTATGCCATGCCATTTGTAATACTTTTTGACTGGCATATCCAGAACCTTCATGTGGTTGTCCTGAGGAGAAGATAAATTTTAAAAAATGAGATTAAGTGGTGATTAAAACATTGTTTACCTGTAGAAACTTGAGTCAAATAATTAATTTGTTCGCTTAATTTAGATTCCACATGTCCTAGTGTCTTCAAAAATTGTTGAGTTTGTGCTTCAGCTTGTTTTAAACTAGATTTTTCTTTACTAAGCTCTACGAAAGCTTGTCCTATAATTTATATATAAATTATACTTTATTTACACGAAAAAAATATATATAAAAAAATAAAGATTTGTTGATTACCTGCACTTTGCAAACACACTATAATATCTTTTTCAATTGTTTCAAGAATCTGTATTCTTTCCATTGGTGGTGTCATTTTGACTCAATTTTTAAATTTTATAGTATGATGAATTAGTATCACGTTTGATCTAAATAAAAATATAGAATATAGAAAAGTAAATAAAAAAGAAAAAATAAAAAATCAAGTCATATAACATATAAAGTAAAATACTAACCAACAATCGAAAATTATCAAACATAAAATGGTCGAAGTGTGGCTTTAGCGCCATCTATATATTTTTATTTATTTATATATTTTTTTAAACAAGATAACGAAGATAATAATAGATAATAATTAACAGATATTGCGATGATATTAATAATTAATAATATTAATAATAATATGTAAAAAAATATAGAAATAATAAGAAAAGAAAAGAAATAGTTTCATTTTTATAGAAATAAATAATAAAGATTAATATTATATTAAATAGAATAAAAAAAAGTAATTAATAGAACAGTGATAAATATCAAGTACGGTAATTAGCCAACAAGAATAGTATCATCGGTGAGAAATTTATATTCAGGTATTTCTAAGTTGGTAGGTGCTGGTCCTCTACGTATACGTCCAGCTGCATCAAAGTGAGATGCATGACATGGACAATAAAATCCACCACGTATTATACCGGCATTAGGAATTGGCACACAACCAAGATGCGTGCAAATTCCAATGACAATTAACCATTCAGGTCGTTTAGCTCTTTCATTATCGCTTTCAGGATCTCTTAATTCCGCAATGTTTACTAATCTTTCTTGGTCTATAATGGATTGGGAGCTAAAATTTTTTCGAATATTAGTTTGAACTGAAAACTGAAATTAAAATAAAAATAAATAATTAAAAAATAATCTTTATACATGATTCCTTACCGATGATAAACGAAAATTGGCTTTCCTTGCCATTTAAATATTGATACTTTTCCTACCGGTATATCTCGTAAACTAATTTCAATTTGTGCTTCTGCTAAAATACCTCGTGATGGGGCAAGAAAAAATATGTAATGTAATATGTGAGATTTTAATCCATAAAGTGCTGCGACACCTGCCACTAATTGTAAAAATATTATGTTAATTATCTTTTTCTATTATTCTTTTGGCAATGAAAACGATTTTTTTGTTTCATTATGTTTTTCATTAAACCGAAATATTTATGAAAACATACCAAAAGATGCAGCATAATTTGCTGTTCTTCGTTCATCAGTACTTCGTTTAGCCGATATATTTGAATTAAGAAGAGATTTTCGACGATATTCTTGAAAGTCTGGTTTTGGTAAATCAGTATGTGCATATCGATATTTTAAATAAAATGTCAATACACTCGCGTTTAAGCAGTTTTCAATTGGAAATCGAGAAAAAATCGATAGAAAAGATAACGACATTTGTGTTTAGTTTTCTATTAATCATTACCTATTAACATGTAAATAATTTGTTTTCAATTCCGTTTTGTTTAGTGTTTTGTTATGTTTTCATGTTGTGATTCATATTTGTTTTTTGAAATAATCGAGAGTGTAACTACATCACAAAAAGAAAAGAAATTGAAAGAAAAAAAAAAGAGAAGGAAGAAAAAAATAATGAAGAGTTTGTAAATATGTAGCACTATTTGTGGTTAATAACAAATCCTTTGGAAAAAATACTATTTGATTGGTTGATTTTAACGTTCCTAACATTCAAAAATAGGAATTGTGCATATTAGTCACATCTACAATTAAATAAAATAAGACCGTATATTATGTATCGTCGAAGAAAGTCATCTTTCGTTTCTTCAAGAACGAATTTTTCGTTTCTTTTTTTTGTCACTACATTTTATCTAGAAAGTTAATTTTGTAATTGGATAAAAAAAAATTAGAATGATTCTTAAAAAATTTTTTTTTCAGATGAAATTACATTTTATAATATTGAAGCTGTAAATAGTCATAATATGCATTTCTAGTCTGCAGTAAATCCTAAGTATATGTAATTTTAAGATTGTTAAACATTGAATGTATAATGTAATATTATAAATGATTATTATAAATATTACACTTTTTAGATACAATACTTAATAATAATTTTCATACAAATTTTTTAATTAATTGTTTAATATTGTCGATATTATTAGAAGATATTTCATTAATATTAGATTTGAATATATGATTTCAACAAGATAATGTATTATTATATATGCTTGTTTATATGCTTGTTTGCAGTATAATATTTCATATCTGGATAGATGGATAGAAAGAGAAAATCAGAATCTTTTTATGATCTCCTGATATTATTTTTACAACTTTTTTTTCAATAAGACTTTAAAGAAAGTTTTTTTTAACAAAACACAATATATGACATGAAGAAAAATATTCAAAAAACTTGTGCTTTTTTAATATATTAAATACTTAAGAATTAATGAATTTTGAATACATATTACAATAAATTTTTTTTCAATAAATTATAGTTGTTTTATTATTTGCATTTATTACACATATTTTTATTTTTCATATTAAGATTATGTAAAGATCATAATCATAAGTAGTTAGATTCAACTATCACATTATAACAATATATTGATATAACATATAATTTTATTTAAAAAAACTAATTAATTAAAAATTCAGAAAAATATGATTTAAAAGAAAAATCTTTTTTATCTTTGTGACCAAACAATTCATCTCTCTGCTATTTTTATATCATTACAAATAATCATTTTGTAACAAAGTTGAAACACATTATATATAATACATATCTTTATAACATTACGTAATATTTTTATTAAAACATTACTTTAAGAAGAAAAAATTTCAAACAAAAAAATAATAAATTTAACTATTAAAATTAGTTATTTATCTTTTTCAAAATCTCTAGCATATATACCAAAAGTAACGAGATTTTTTGTTGGTTCGTTTAAAACAATAGTTAGATTTGTTTGTTTCCCATATGTATGCTCAATATATGACCATTGTTCGAAAGGAAGGAGCGAGGAATTGAGTATACTAGGCATTACCAAAATTTTTGGATAATCATTAAAACGTGCCGTAATGCTTAAAGGAAAAAAGGTAATATTGGATTGACCAATAAAACCACAAGAGCGAATTGAATCATTGGAACATTGAATCAAAGCACACAGACGAACACCAGCTTCTACTTCCTTACCATATAATCGAACATTATTAAAAACTACTGCACGATAATGGATCGATGATAAATTATTAATAGTATCAATACGAGCTTCAAAATCACAACAAAAATTACGATAACAAATACTTTGAATTATCGAGCTATTGAATAAAACAGATTCGAATGATGTAACATTATCATGTAATAATTTTATCGAATTGAGAATATTTGTTTTCTTTGGCTTGTCGTAAAAATCGAATGTTTCATAGCGTGTAATATATTTTTTCATTCTTTGATTTTCCTTTTTCTCTTTTCTTAATTTTTGTACTATTTGTCTCTCTTCAATTTCTCTGGATTTAGTTGATTTTGGAACTTGAGATATTAAAAGTCGATATTTGGGATTACTAAACATAGTAGCGTTGATTAATCCATTACGACCTAAAAAAATATCAAAAAATTATTTGCATCGAAAATAATAGTGATAAAAAATTGTTTCTTATAAATGAAAAAGTAACATTAATATATAACATTATTACCTAAATAAATACCACTTCCCAAAGTTCCTATATTCGGTTGATGATATCCAGCCGCGAGTAAATTTACGTTCTCAGCAAAGGACCATCCGAATTGAATTTGTATGGCTGAAAAAAAATATTACAAATGAAAAATAATATTTAATCATTTTTAAAATAAAATAAAATAAAATGCAGAGTGAAAAAATAAAAATACCAGTTAAAAATGGTACTTCCGAAAACCAGGCAGTGGTAAATATAATATTTGAAATTCCTAATGTTCTTGTTAAATTTAAAGCCGGTACTGAAAATAATATATCAAAACATATAAAGGTACCAAATTTCACTCCAAAATCAGTATCAAAAGTTACAATTTCTGGTATCTTGGTTTTATCGAATTGTTTTTCCATATAAAGATTTACTTTGCGATATCTGTATATGAAGATAAAAAATAAAGAAATTGTTATAAAATTAATTTTGAAATATAATTACCTAGCAATTATCTTTCCCATTCGATCAAACGCGACATTGGTGTTATGATAATGCCATGTAAAATTCGAAGAACATTCATCATTATTAAGTCGTTTTTCAGCGATGTTTATTACTACGTAAATACGATTCTGTTTTGCAGCACATGATAATCTTTTTAATGTCTATGAATATAAACATTAAATAAAGAAAAATAAAAATTAAGACGAAAACGATTGTTTGTTAAATATGAATATATAAAGTATTTACTTCGCCGACATCAATACTTGTATTTGTACAAGGAACATAATTATCATGAATGGAAGGAACTAATGTTGTCCAGGAATCCATATGTGATCTATTAGGCATATAAAGTGATGTCAATCCATCTTCCGGAAAAACGATAATATCAGCATTCTGTAAAATTTTTTATCAGAATGTTACAAAAGCAAATTATATTGTACCCTGCAACTTAACAAGTACTTATTTAAAACTATAGTACATAGAATTCGGGAAGATCAGTTGTGCAATGGTAAAAACTCGAGAATGTGATAATTTCGAATATGTATCAAAATCCTTTCTAAATTTTCTCAATGCAAAATTTAATGCTTTGTTATTGAAAACAATATGATATCTAAGAATAAAAATAATATATTAATTGACAAAATATTAACATAGATGCAGAATCTTGAAAAAAAAAATATAGGACAAAAAAGCATTAAAAAAGCAAACTGTTCGAAAGTATAACAGATAATAATATAATAAATTAATAATCAATTGAGCTTACCTGTTTACTTGCTTTTTCAATATATTCGATATATGCATCTGTATTCTTTGACAATGTTAATGGACCATTATCTTTAACATAAGTTGGTGTAAATTCTACTACAGCTGCAGTATAGTAATCCGTTGAGTTCTGTATAGTCATCTTTTTCATATATATAGAATGTTAATGTATTTATATTTGTAGAGGATTAATGTATTTATTTTTAGAGAATTCTTATTTTAAAGGTTATAAAACAAATACAAAAATTGATAAAGAAAAATATTTTGAAATTTATTTATTAAGTTATAATTAATCATAACTTAATAAATAATTAATTATAACTTTATTAATTAGATTGTTTTAAAATTAGAATAAGATGGAAATAAATTGAAACAATTTATCTCTATCATATTATTGTTTTGCTTCTATTGTTATCTCCATCTCGTTTCTAACGCAAATTGCTTATAACTTAATAAATAAGCCTAAACCATTTTATCATTTATAATTAATTTATTATTTATTTATCATATATTAATTTTTGTATTTGTTCTCTAAAATCAACAGAAATATGTTATGAATATATTAACACTCTATATATGAATAATTTATTTATTATATGAATTAACTTATTTTTCAAATAATATACATAATATAATAAATATTTATATTATTATATAGCTATATAATTAGATTACAAATATTTATGCATTTATAAAATTTAAATGTACAAAAGTTAATAAAATGTATATGATATGCAAAGAAACACAAAATATTCAAATATGAATTATGATATTTGATAAAAAAATGTTTAATTTAATTCTTAATTAATTTAAATTTTTTTCTGTCATGTTCATAAAAATTTTATTTTGTGTAATCATTTTACAATTTATTTATCATATAAAAATTTAGATTTTACCTGATATGAAAATTGCACGAGAATTAATAATAATCCGAATTCGTCCAATTTTCCACGCATGTTGTTTGATCTTTTCATTGTTTTTAATAAATCTAAAAAGGAAAATTTTAAATAAAATTATAATAGAATATTTAAAGTATAAAAAAAATATATATAAATATATATGTTATAATATTTATGTAAGTCAATTTTCATTTCTTATTTTAATATATTAAAATTTAGAGTCTTTTTTAGAACTTTAAATTTTTAAATTGTTTAAATTTTTAAATTGTTTTAAATTGTTTTTAATTTTCCATTCATAAATATTTTTTATTACTATAATATACTTATTTCTTTTTTGCATATAACATGATCTGTAAATATATTATATTATGGATATTTGTGAAACATCTTTGAAGAGTTTTAAAATCAAAATAAACATAAAAGTTGGAAAAATGTATAGAAATATTAGTTTATTAAGTTCAAATATTACTAAAGATGTTTATATAAAATAAAATTTTTATGAATTAAAAATGGAGTTTAAATAGAAATTTATTTTATTTTTAAAATATCATAATGCGTACTATATTTTGAATACTTTTTACTTTTTTTAGATTTAATTATTTATTTAATTTTTTCTAT